CACATCACACACAGGTGGCCTGCTCTTGTCATACCAGTGCTGGGGAGGCAGTGGTAGACAGAGCCCTAGAACTCACTGCCAGCCAGCCTTGCCTTATGGTGAGCCCTAAGTCCCAATGAAAGGCCACGTCTCAAAAAAAAAGTGGATAGCTCCCGAGGAAGAACACTCAAGGTTGACCTCTGGCTTCCACATGGACATGCACACACGTGCCCATGCACCTCCACCACATGAACACACACACACACACACACACACACACACACACACACACACACACACATGCATACACCTCCCATTCATGCATATGGAAGAATGACTTTCTAGACAGTGAAATGACTGCTTCACATTTGGGGGTCTTGGGGATTCTTAGTATAACCAGTCACTGGCCTCACCAACATCACCTCATTAAATCCTCCTTGGAAGCCTGCCACGGGGACATTGTCAGGGGCATGTCTTCCTAATAGACAAGAACAGGTTTACACCGGATACTTGGGATGTGGTGAAGGTCAGACATGATTGCAACCTTAACTTCAAAGCTTGCGTTATCCATTGGGCTACACTGTACTTAGCTTCTCCGGCAAACTCAAACTCCGATTTGTCTTTCCCGTGTGGCTGTCCTGTCTAGCCCTGTCTTGTCTGTTTCAGTCACCTTGACGGCTTATCTTCATTTCATCTAACAATTCACACCCCTTTTTCTCTGCCCCAGCTTCTACATCCCTGTGGAGATAACGTCCACTCCTGCCATGCCAGTCAGCTCCTGTCCCCACACTCAGTTCTCTTCCCCCGACACCACACCTGCCCCCCAATCCTGGCAGGACCCAGTGTTTTCTTCACCCCTGTCTCTCACTCTAGCACCCATGCTTGAGATATTCTTCCCTTTCTCTTCTATGGTTTGAACATGAAATGTCCCGGTCTCAGTCACTCTTCTAGTCTGTGCAGAGACACCATGACCAAGGCAACACTCAGGAAAGAAAGCATTTAACCGGGGCTTGTTTACAGTTTCCGAGGGTCAGTCCATTATCATCATGGTGGGGAGCATGGAGGCGCGCAGGCAATATTTCTGCCTCAGCCTCCCAAGTGCTAGGTAACAGGTATATACCACCACAGCGAGCTTTGTTTCTCACCCCTCACCTTCTCTCCCTCCCCTCCTCCTTCTTCCACTGCCCCCCTTTCCCTTCTTTTGCAAGATGGAGTCTGGCTGTTTGCCCAGGCTGGCCCCAAACCGATCACCGTGCTTTAGACTGCAGGTGCACAACAGAATGTTCAGTCCTTAGTCTTCTCAATAGTCAGAATTAAGACACTGCAACCATATAGAATACACACAGAGTATAAAGTGAATAAATTCACGTGGAGACATCATTCTTTGATGGAGCATTCAGAGTCCATGGTCAGCAGGTCGGTGATAGTGCATGCCTTTAATCCCAGCACTTGGGAGGCAGAGGTAGGCGGATCTCTGTAAGTTGGAGGCCAACCTGTTCTACTGAGTGAGTTCCAGGACAGCCAAGGCTACATGGAGGAACCTTGTCTGGGAAAAAAAAAAGAGTCTCATGGACAAAAAAGGTTATACAATTTAAAATTTTCAGTGCTAAACAAAACTGTGATTCTTTGCTTAAAATTATCAAGAATTTCAGAATTACAGGCCTTAAGCCAAGTAGAGGCCTTTGTAAGCATGGGGCACTGTGCCATTATGCATGGTCACAAGCCCGCAAAGCTGGCCCTGCCCACGAGCTCTACAGAGACTTGCTGACTCGGACTGTCAGAGTTCTCCATTCTTTGAGTCAATGCATGCCCTGTTCTGACAATGGACATTTTTGTCTCGGCCTCCACATTGGATATCGTCTCCTGATTCTGCATACAGCCTGCTCCAGCTGCATTCTCTGCTCCAAGGCCAAACTGCTAAGAAAAGCTCCAGGGTCCACGGCTGCCTGTCAACATTGCTCTGGAGGTACCCACAAAGTTAGTAATGATGTTGAATCCTGACATCTCTGTGTCGCAGAAGGAAACTGTCTCCAGAGAAAAGAATACATCGAGTCAACAACCAAGAAACTTGGATTCCATTTCCAGCCCTGCCACCGACCATTGTGTGTCCTCACTTAAGAGTTGTCAGACATCTTGGCACCTTAGTTTCTTTCTGTCAAAGGCGGGGGGTGGGGTTCAATGGTCTCTAAGGCACTTTCCAGTCTAAAAGATTGTATCCCAGTGACTCAGAGACTAGTGATACGGACGGCAAGAGATGATGCTCCTTAGGCATGAGTCACACACCACTCACATGCCCCACATCATGCTCCTAACGGTCCTATGAGGCTGGCAGTGTTATACAGATGAAGAAACTGAGTCTCAGCCCAAAGCATGTGCCCCATGAGAAAACTTGAGAAGTGTTCTAAAAGTTGAATGGGGTGATGATCATGCAACTCTGTGGATTTGCCACAAATCAGTTTTACACTTACATTGGTTAAGTTTTACAGCACTTTATACCTCCGTAAAGCTGCCAAAAGAAAATAAATAATGTGTATGTATATGGCAGGGCCCCTCACCACTGCCCAGGCTGCCATAGTGTGCACAGTCCTCTGGACTGTAGGAGCCAGATGGCACAGAATCAAATCCTGGCCCTAGAACCTCTAGTAACCGTGAGACCCACACACACAAGATACTTAATTTCAGTTCCTTCACTTACAAATAGAAATAAAAATGATATCTGTGGGGCTTGCAAGATGGTTCTGCCTGTAAAGGCACTTGCCTACAAACCTGCAGACCTGAATTCGGTCTCCAGGATCCACACGATGGAGGGAGAGAATCAATCCCCACAAGTTGTCCTCTGGCTTCTGCTCACGCTGTACACGAGTGCACACCCATGGACAAGATCATACACAATAAATGAATACATAAATAAGATGTTCTTAAAAAGGATATTTATGGGCCAGGCCTGGTGGCATGCATCCATAGTTCTTACTATTCAATGGGCCGAGGCAGGAGGATCACTTGAACCAAGGAGTTTAAAGCCAGCCTAGGCCATATAGAGAACACAGTCTTTTTTTTTTTTTCTTTTAAAGGTTGTATGGGTGTTTTGTCTGTGTATACATCTGTGCACCACTTCCATACTTGGTGCGGGTAGAGGCTGGAAGAGGGTGTTGGATTCCCTGGAACTGAGTTACAGACTATTGTGAGTTTCCGGGTAGCTGCTGGTTTATGAGCCTCCCGGTGGGTGCTGGGAATCGAATCTGGACTCTCTGGAAAAGCAGCTAGTTCTCTTAACTCCTGAACCACCTCTCCAGCTCCTGATCCTGTCTTTTAAAAAGAAACTTTAGGGTGTATGTGGGAGGGACCCCAGTTCAATCCTCTGAACCAAATGTGAGGGCGTGCTCTTGTAATCCCAGCACTGGGGAGGTGGAGGCAGGTGGATCCCTGGGGCTCTCTGGCCAGACAGTCCAGCCTAATAGTGAACTCCAGCTCAATGAAAGACCCTCAAAAGACATGGACAGTATTCCTGAGAATGATATCCAGGGCTGTTCTCTTGTACATATATCTCCTACACACACTGAACACACATACACATTAAACATGCACACACAAACACATTAAAAAAAAACCATGAAACTTTAAGATAAAAGGCAAAAAAAGCCTGATGTTTATTATATAGGCTTGTTATAGGTTGAGTGTTTGAAATAAATAAAGGCATGGGGTGGTGGTGGCACACGCCTTTAATTCCTGTAGTCGGGAGGCAGAGGCAGGCAGATCTCTGTGAGTTCCAGTACAGCCTGGTCTACAGAGAGAGTTCCAGGACAACCAGGGATGCACAGTGAAATCCTGTCTTGAAAAACAAAACAAAGCAAAAGCTACAGACATCCAGCAAATGCATGTAAGTGTGGACCATCATTATCTCCAGGATTGTAAAGCCTGCCCGAGCCACGCCTCTTAAAGGGGCCCAATTTCACTCCACCAACCCCATTCCTGCTTTCCTGGCCCTTAAAGAAACTCTCCACTTCAAAGGCCATCTTTGGAAAAACACTGGCTCTCCTCACATCTTACTTCCTGTTACCAGTGAGGGAGAAGCCCATCTTCCCGATAAGGCAGTGACTCGCTGGCTCTCATAAAACGTTCACTGCTGTGCCAGCTTTTCCCCACAGACTGTTCCCTCCTGGGCCCTCATTCACTCTAGCAATCAACACTGAAAGCGGGACTCAGGGCCAGTGCTGTGAGCTCAGGGTGGCCAAGGACAGGGCAGGGGCAAAAGCCTTGCAGCTGCATAGGAAGCCCCTTGCTGGCTGATGAACCAAGCCAGAGAGGACACGGTTATGTGTGGACAGGCTTCTATCTCTCAAAAATATATTTTGCAGCACTTAGCTCACCACCAGTGGAGGGGGGGGGGGTTGCGGGGGAGGGGTGTGGCCTGGTGCTTACCTTGTGGTCACTGCACTTTTGCTTATGTTTGAGGGGCACTGTCTAAGCCAAAGCCCCTTCTGTGATCTCACTGAAGCCACAGCCTTGGTAGCATGCATTTATGTCCCCTGGGTGATGATACCCTCTTTCAAGTGATGAGCAAACTGAGGTGATGTACTTCAGTGAGGGGCATCAGCCGGGCGTGAATGGAATCAGGTCATCTGCAGCCAGGCCCAGTGTTTTTCCACTGGCTTCGGAGGAGGAAGTCAGAAGGTCCCTGGACTCCACCTCAGGAGCGCTAATCATGTTTGTTACATGCTGAAGAAAATGAAGCCATGCACTGTCTGCATATCCCTGCCAAGTTCCTTACAAACTGCTCTCAGAGGCCGGAAAGAAGCTAGGAGAGTCAAGATTACCCCGTTATGGGTCACAGGGAATGCAGGGGCTACGATTCTATTCAGATCTCCAAAGTCCCACATCAGGTGACCCCAGTGGTGGGACAAATGAACATTGGTCTACAGAGTTCAAGGTAGCAAGAAAACATCCACCCCACCCTCACCTCACCCCACCCCACCGCACCCCACCCCACCCCACTCCACACAATGCAATCAGGCTGTGGCAGAAAAACAAATATATAAATAAATAAATAAAACATTTGCTCTGCTTTCTGGGGCTTCCAATGCTCACATCTCAGGCCAGGTCTGAGGTTCAATGAGATGACCACAAGCTCCTTGGGCTGATTTTTTTTTTTAAACCTATTTGTCACATTGACACTAATCCTTTTGTTCACAATTTGCCCTGGAGCAGAATTGGTGTTAAGCAGCAAAAGACAGAGCAGGACCTGCCTTAGTGGGGTCAGCAGGTCCTGAAGCCACCTTCTCTGTGGGGCTGGGGACTATGATCATGCCTAGGGTCCCCTACTGTGAGCCTAATTCACTCTCCTACCACTCACCAACTAATCTACTCCCGGGCATCCTTCTGGCTCCTGCTATCCTACCCAGTCTGCAGCCCTTGTCTTTACCTCTCACTGATTTTCATATTTCAGGAAAATCCATTTGTTTGGTTCAGAGCAACTGAACCGTCCCTGTGTTCAGACAAAAACCACTCCCAAGGTTGGCATTTAGCAGAGGCCACTTATGGGTGGGAACTCTGCTTCATCTCCAAACAGGACTCTGCCTGCACTGGCTCCTGGCAACTCCTGGCTGTTCCTCTCTGCTGCTCTGACCTATGGCTCTTCTTGGTAGCCTTCAGACACTCTGCCTGTCACTCCAATGAGACTGGATCCCTGACTTCCCTTCCACAACCTGTGCACAGGCTCCTGTGTTTACCTACAAACTCAAGTGACTGGAGCGTTTGGAGCGGAGTGTGAGGGGAGCTTGTATGATAGGCCACAGGAGGGAAATACTGATCTAAGTACAAGACTAAATCCTTACAAAAGTATAGCATTGGCCTTCCTTTCCACTCTGGGAAGCACCTGAGGAGGGACATCATGCTGCCATTACCAGTGGGGCTGCATGAGCCCCACGTTCAGTATGATGTCAGCGGGCAGTTGAGTCTCTGATGCCCATGCCTATCCCAGTCTTTTGTTCTTGGGACTTCAGGGTCAAGAAACATAGGCAGCCCTACTCAGTGAGCACCAAGAAAGGACAGAGTCTCTCTGTGTAGCCCACATTGGCTTCAAACTCGTGACTCCTTTGCCTTAGCCTTCTGAGTGCTGGGATTACAGGCATGTGCCACCCATGCCCAGTGACTGTGCTTCTTAAGACAAGGCACCCCTAGGTGGGCTGGGAGTACTCTGAGAAGTAAGATGGGATTCCAATTGGTGAGTGTTAAGTTAAACGTTTGAGTCTCTTAAAACTGTTTCACTGAGGATGTACTACCCGCTGTCATGTACTAGTGTGTGCTATCGCATGCATGCTACCTGTATTACCTCTTTTTTAATCTTTTTGGCAACAGTACAAGACAGGAACTACTGTTGTCTCTTTTTACAGAAGAAGAAACTGAGGTAGCCAGAGGTGAAAGAACTTGTTAAAGATCCAGTGACAGCAGACTCTAAATGCCTGCTTCAAAGCCCACACCTTTAGCCAGTACACACAGAGCAAGGAGCTCATCTCGGGCATTATTCTGCAGCCCTCTCGTCCCTCCAAAGGACAATGCACTCCTTTCGTGGACAAAAATTATATTAAATTCATTTCCCTGACCATCTGGGAAGGCCAGTGTCTACTTCTCCTCATCCTACGTCTCTGGGTGTGGGCTCGGGCAGGAATCTGGGGTTTTAATCCTGACTGTTCCAAGACCTCCTAGTTAGTCAGCATTTTGCTTTCTCTCCACTTCCCAATCTCCAATCCCAGCACCTTGAAAATAAATCAGTCTTCCTGATTGTTGGCTAGAGCTGGGAGAAGGTGAAGATCCTCACATGCCTAGTCCCTGATGGCAGGTGTTCTCTCTCACACACAGCTCCGGGCCTGAGCAAGAGCACAGTCCACCTGATTTCCGCCTGTGTGCTTGCTGCGGAGTCTGGAAGCTCCTGGCTCAGGAGGAGGCAAGCGCCTTAAACTCAGTCACGTCCCAGCCCCGCAGACAGTTGCACCAGGTTGTGGGCAAAGTCTTGTCATTTCCCCTTTTCCTCTTCCTCCTCCTCCTCCCACTTCTCTGGAAGAAGGGTGGGCTGCACCAGGACCAGAAAGGTGGGGAAAGCCGGTTAACTGAAACGTCCCCTTTTTTGCTAGGTAGTTCCGGGGCATCTCCTCACCTCTCACCCAAGGGTCGCAGCTCAGATATCATGACCCTTGCAGGGTTCCAAAGTGGAAGGAAATGGACTCTCACCGATCCATCCGCACTACTTCTCTGAGGTAGCCAGAGGACTTGGGCAGTAGGACCCCCCTCCTGGAAGTAGTGGTGGCGGGTCCTTGGGTAAAGGAAAGGCTCGATTGTGCTAAGGCTTCCTGCCCTGACAACTCCCGGCGTAGCCCCCGCCACGCAGCAGCCGCCTCTCTGCGGCGGGCCGGCTGGGGAGGCGGGGCGGGAAGGCTAACGCAGGAAAGGGTTACGGGAATAGCTTTCCAATGACAAAGTCTGGAAGGGACCCATGCCTCCGCCCCTCTGCGGGTTAAGCTGGCACAGTCCAGGGGAGGAAAGCGAGGGCGATCCGCAGCCCGGCCTCCCCTCCCGCCCACCTCCAGCCGCGGGCACTCCCAGCTCGGCCCACCGCGGAGGCAGCCGGCGTGTGCCTAGGGCAGCGGGTCACTAGGCTCCGCCCCCGGCCGCCGGGCCCGGGGGACGGCACTTTGTTCAGGATGCCGCCTCCTTCTCGTCGTGGAGCGGGAGCCCGCGGCCGCCCTAGGGAGAGGCTGGAGGCCGGAGCGCGCAGCGCCGGCTGAGACTCGCGCGAGGAGCCGCCCGGGCCCCGGGAAGCCCCGGGAAACTTTCTGATCGCGAGCAGAGGACGTCCGGCCCTGCGCTGCTCGGGCGATGCGCGACTCGGCGCGGCGGCGGCGGCGGCGGCGCGGACCCAGGACCGAGGACCAGAGGCGCTCCGGTGAGTGGCCCGTACCGGGCGGGCGCGGTGGAGGGGCTGAGCTCTGCTCTTAGCCCGGCTGCAGTCAGCCCGAGGGAGGGGAGGCTGGTGCCCGAGAGAGGCTGCGGGCTGGCGCAGGAGAAGCGCGGGATAACAACCGGGATGCTAGCGGCTTCGCGGGAGTGTCTAGACGCCCCTGCTGGACCTTGCGTCTGTCCTGGGGTCGACGATGCGATGACCTAACCCCAACCCTCTGAGCTTTGGCTTCTCAGAGAAATACCTGTCATTTAAAGTGCGCTGAGTTCCTGCAATCAAAGACACTAAACGTTGTGCTATCACACACACACACACACACACACACACACACACACACACACACGGGGGGGGGGGAGAGAGAGAGAGAGAGAGAGAGAGAGAGAGAGAGAGAGAGAGAGAGAGAGAGAGAGAGAGAGAGAGAGAGAGAGACTGGCACACATAGTCAGACGACACCCCCACCCCCACCCCAAGCAGCTAGTTAACTCTTCAAACATCCCAGGAGGCGCTAAAGGAAGAGCTGGGGCAGGTGACCCGGCTGGGCTGTTCCAGAAAATGCACTGCCTCGCCACCCCTACCATCCCCCTGCACCAGGATACGCTGAGAAGCGCCGTCTTCAAGGCTGTTTCTTCTGGCGCCTGCCCAGGACGTCTGGGAGCCTCAAGAGCATCCCGGGAGAGAGAGGAGGGAGGAGGAAAGAGAAGCTGGGAAAATGGGAGGGAGACGCTCACCTGAAGGTGCGGGTGCGGTGCCTGGATTTTTGTGGTCCCTTTTAATCTTCAGAGTCTACCCAAACTGGCCGTAGGTTAGAGAGCCGGCCAAGTCTGCAGATGGCATAAAGGAGAGGAAGGAACTGGGGCGGACCTGAGTGGTGAGTGGCTCGCGCAGTGCACTAATGTCCGCCCAGCAAAGAGGGTTCCTTGTCCCCCAGGGCTGAACACAGGAAAATCAGCTGGTGAGTCAATGGGACTTTGTTAGGACGGTCCGAGAGCGCAGCTGGCGCCGGCTTAAGGGAAGTGCTGGATCCCCCCTTGATAACACGCTGTTTATCTGGCTTCCTGTTTCAGCCATTGGGATACCATTGGCTGGTTCAAATTCAATGCTGAGAAGCCGGTGGCCAGCTCACCGAGTAAAGGCTGTGGATTTATACAGACTTCTGCACTATGAGCTATCTCTAATTCCCTGGAGTTAGGGTACCCCTGCAACTCACTTGTGTTGAGGTAGGAGGACTGCAGTACAGACGGTCTCTCCAGAGACTTTGGCTCCCTTCAGGCCAAAGATACGAGTTCCTCCATCTGGCTGGAGAACTGTTCTCACACTACCTTGAGTTTTGGTTGGTGCATCTTTTTACCTTGCGAAAGAGAATGGAAGCAATGTGGATCTCTCCTGAGACCGGCTGTTACACAGCCGACGGGGGTTTCTAGGTGAAGTTCTCAGTCAGCCTGGAGTTTCTCTGTCTGAGCTGTGGACTTTGGATGGGAGAACAAACAGTTCTTCACCTCCCTTGTTCTGGTACTCACACTTATAAAGTTGGTCCTGGATGAGAGACTGCTGGAGGAATAGACACGTGTTTGCAGACCTGTGTCAGCCTCCAGGGGCCAGTACCTGAGGTTGCCAGGTGAGGGGGCGTTGCTAATCTGAGCTCCTCCTCCAGCGGCTTTGTCTGAACTCCCCCGGGGCAGGCCTTGGATTTTGCTTTGGATTTTAGACACGTGAAAATCTTCACGTAGGGCTCCCTTCCCTGTCACTCAGTCTGACCACTTACAACACCCAGCACACAGTAGGCACTTTATAAATATTTTCCAGTTTCATTAAACTGAAGGGAAAATCTTAATGGCACCCAGAGCTCGCTCTCCATTTCACTCAAATGGCAGGCTGTCTGTTCTTCAGGAGTTGTTTGATTTGCTCCACTCCCAAAACCCTTCCGCATCAAAGTCTGGGGTTTGGAATCTGGTGTCCCTGGTGAGTCTTGGCTGAGGAAATAGAAAGTAGGAGTGCCATTTGTCCTTCCCTAGCCTGACCTGTCTCCTACCCCAACTTCATATGAATGATTTCTCCACTCCCAGGCCTCAAGCTTGCTAAGCAAAGTGCACAGAACTCAGCTCCACCCCAGCCTTCAGTCAGCTTCGGCCCAGTAGGGAAGAGTTTCAGAAAGTATAAAAGTGTCCGGTGCATCTTTTCAAATGTGTTCATCTTTGGCCATTGATGTCAGTCACTTCCCCTTCTTTTAAAGCACTTCTGAATTCTGTACGGGGTTTATAATAGGCTGACATTTAAAGTTAAAAGAATCTCTGTCTCTCAGCCCAAGCCCTGTTCTCCTCCCTTCAGACCAGAACTCAGGCCTCCTGAAGGAAGGCCTGGGCTTCTGGCCACACTGCTGTGGTGCCTCGGAGCCGTCTAGAGCACCAGCCCCTAGCTCTCCTTCCAGAGTTCCTTCTCTTTAGTAAAACCAGCTCACTGCACGCAGATCTCTCTATCTGTAGTGTTGTCATCCACAGATCTCAGCACTCTCCTGAGCTGTTAGCAGGAGAGCAGAGCAGAAACACTGTGGGGGAGGGGAGGGGGAAGAAGAGCTGTCTCTGGGATGGAACCAACCTCCAGCTCTTATTCTGTGGGACACTAAGGTCTAAGAAGTGTGGCAATACTTGGCAAACACTTCATCTTGCTGGCCCCTAGTCTCTTACACACACACACACACACACACACACACACACACACACTCACACACAAATAATTTAAAACATTTTTAGTTCCCTTTTTTTCTTTTTCTTTTTTTTTAGTTCCTTTTTTGATTAAGAGAACACACACACACACACACACACACATACACACACAAAACATTACCAACTTTTTAAGTGGAAACAGCCTCCTCAGCGAGCAGTTCCCTGGGCCTAATCTCCTAGGAAGGCTGACTCAGGCTTAGTTTCCTCTAAGGGGTCTGGGATTTTGCTTCCCAGCTTCCTGTGACTCCTGAGAAATGAAGGGAGGCAGGATGGCTGCGGCCCAGACCACTCTGAATGGTTCATGGATCTGACTCAGCTTCTAATACATGTCCCGTGAAGTCCACTACCCTCATCAAATCTATTTGCTCTACTTAATTTTAATATGAGATGCACTAATATGCATGGAAAATCAGAAGCACTGGTGCGTGTGCCTCACCGAGCCCTGTTAATAACAAGATGTTTCCACTTCAAAGGACTACAAGCCTATTCTGATGTCCAGATGTCCTCTGATGCTCCAAACGCTTTCCTAAATGCATTTGTTTCTTAATTCCCTGTTTGGATTGTTCCTTGCTGGTATATTTGTGTGCTGATCTCATACATGGCTGAATTTGCCTAGGATTGTTCTTATGTATGAATTTGGAATTTTCTGTACGTAGGACCACTTCCCCTGTGACTAGAGATAGTTTTACATCTTCCATTCTGATTTAGGTAGGTGTTTTTCTTCCTGGCCCAATTTCTTGGGCTGTAGCTTTCAGGACATTGTCCAATAGCTGTAGTGAGTGTAGGTGCCTCCCCTCTAGTTCTCCATCTTAGGGAAAAGGCTTTGTGTCCTCTACTATCAAATATGACATGAGCTGGGGGCAAACCATATTTGTCCTTTATCATCTGCTAAGAATTCACTTCTATTTATAATTTTCTAACTTTTTTAAATTGTGATATTGGATTATATCAAACGTTCTTTTCTGCATAATTTGAATAAACCACCTTTGCATTCCTGGGATAAATCACTCTGCAAGCTTCTTTTTCTTTCTTTCTTTTTTTTTCTTCTTCTTTTTTTTTTTTTTGAGACAAGGACTCTTGAGCTTAGTGATCGAGCTAGACTAACAGGTCAGTGTACCACAGGGACAGTTCTGTCTCCGTCTACCAGTGCTGAGATTATGAGTGTGCACTGGCTTGCTTGGCTTCTTGTGTGAATTTTGGGGATCTGAATTCAAGTCCTCGTGCACCCTGGACCATCTCCCCAGCTCCTCCAAGGAGTGCTTTTTTAGTGGTTTCTTCTGGGGAGGAAGTTGTACATTATTAACAACTTTTAAAAAATTATTTTATGTGCACTGGGTTTTGCCTGCATGCATGTCTGTGTGAGGGTGTTAGGGCCCTTGGAACTGGAGTTTCAGACAGTTGTGAGCCACCATGTGGGTGCTGGGAATTGAACCCAGGACCTCTGGAAGAGCAGCCAATGCTCTTAACTGCTGAGCCATCTCTCCAGCCCCCTTCTTTTTCTTTTTTCAATAATCTGTAATTTTCTGTCACCAAACCATCGGTAAAAGACTGTACCTCGAGTTGGATGGAAGGGGGACCATTTATATTTCTTTATCATTGTGCTCGAAACATTAAAAAACTTTTTTTATTATGAGAAAATATATATAACATAAAATTTATCCATTCAATACTTTTTTTTTTCTTTTGAGGCAGAGTCTCTCCCTATAACCTTGGCTATCCTGGGTTGTAGAGCAGGCTGGCTTCAAACTCACAGAGATCTGCCTGTCTCTGCCTCCTGAGTGCTGGGACTAAAGATGGCACCACCCAGACTGGCCAAACAACTTTTTAAAAGACAGAGTATTTGCTGTATAATTCAGACTGGCCTCAAGATCTGAATCCTCCTGCCTCAACCTCCCAAGTGCTGGAGATTACAACTGTGTGCTACCATACCCAGCCTATTTAACCACTCATCACAGCACAGTTCAGTGGAATTAGATGCTTCCTATTGGTTTGTGATCACCACCACTAGCTATCTCTAAAGCCTTTTAATCCTCCTAAACTGAAAGCTACCTATTAAAGATTAACTCCCAGCTGCACACCGTGGCACAGGCTTTAAACCCCAGCACTTAGAAGGTTGATGAAGGAGGACATGGAGTTTGGGTACTGTCGGGGCTATAGAACAAGCCCTTGTTTCAAAAATTCCACAAGTAAATAAGTAAATAAAACTAAATAATGAATAAAACCTCCCTTTACCCCTCCTCCCGTCTTCTGGCAACCAAATTGTGA